CCTCGAAGGTCGACACCTCAGCCGCGAGCGACGTGATCCATGCGCTGCGGCAAGATCAGAGCGTGTTTCGTGGATGTTGCTCGGTTTTTTTGAAGGTACCCACCGGCTTGGCGGATTTTTCCCAAGGACACCAAAAGGACAACCATGGCGAAGCGCCATTTCGCCCTGTTCCTGGTTCCTGTCCAAGTCCTACAGAAAAGACTTGGACCCCAAACCAAAACAACAAAAAAAGCACAGAAATCCGCAGAAACCAACAAATCCAACAACCCACAACTCCAGATCCACAGAAGAAAGAAAGAAAAAAGAAGACAAACAAACAAAAAACGAGAAACCCAAAAAGCCCAGAGAATTTCCACTGAGCTCACCTGCAACTGTGGGGTGTCCTCCAAGGTGGCTCCCTCCACCTGGCACACCGCCGGCGACCACGCCCCAGGGAGGTCCTCGCAGACCGCCGCCGCTTCGGCGCTGGGACTCGAACTCCTCGGTGCGGGTCAAAACCAATGGGATCCCATGCGCCACCCATTTTGGTCCTTTTTAGTGGGGAATTGGGTACGGGAATATGACCCAAAAGTGATCCGAGAACTTGGTCGTCGCTTTTTTTTTAGGATAGCGGTGTGGACTTGTTTCCCTTTGAAGCCAAACAAAAAAAGAGGGATACCAACTCAGAAAGAGGCACGCCCATGTTGAAAAGCTAATTAAACCCCCGGTTGATTCATGTGGGTTGATTCCTTTTCCATTCTTTTCAACCCATCCTTCTTTTCAAAAACCAGATGTTTTTCCTGGGGTTCTGATGGTGTTCTGAAAAGCAGGGTCCCTGGAAAGAATGGGGAAGTGTCCCCGAGAATAGCTTGTGGGTGAAACCGAAACCCCAAGCCCTAAAACCCTCCAGAGAACAACTTTGGGACACCCAACCACCAAACCGAGAAGAGGTCTTGGCGCGTGAAATGGAAACCCCAACCACTAAACCAACTAGAAAGAAACAAAAATGCCATTTCACGATTCGCAGGACGCCAAGATTCTGGATGGCCTCGAACTCACGAAGCAGGTCGCAACTTTGCCAGGTCTCGCCCATGAACTCCAGGTATCCCTGGCGCATGCTGACCACCTTCTCACCGAAGTGGAGCAGGTTTCCATCCCGCCGGCCTGTCCATACGCTTCCAGCGGTTTCGATCTTAGCTACCTCCCCGTCGATGGTCAACTGAAGATCAATTCCATCTCGGTTGACATACACCACCATGGCTGGGCCTTTGCCTGAATCCGAAGCAAGCGTGCGAATGTTTGAGGCTGCCTGGCTATTTGTTTGCGAATGGTGTCTGCGAGCTGCTGGCTGTTAGGATTGAAAGGGAGCCGCGTTTGTTTTTTCCAAGCAGTTGAGCCGAACAGCTTGCGTCGCTGTGCAAGCAGCTGCTGGACCAACAAACTACGCAAGGTGCTGGTCGTGTCTATGCTCCTGCCGTGAGCAACGGCAAGAAGCAGTCCGAACCAAAGTAGCCAACAGCCAACAGAACGAGCATTCTGAGTGCAGGTCGTGCCCGTCTGAAGAGTGCGCCGCATCAATACTCACAGTCATCCCTGGAAGGTTGCTCCATCCATGGGATGATGCAGCCTGGCTGCGAAACTCCGTGAAACAAATGCAGAAAGGGAGCTGCCTCCGTCCCGCTGGGATGCTTTGCCTCGTTTTTGGGGATTTGGACCCCCAAAATGGTTTGGTCTCCATTGAAAAGTACCAAAAAAAGGGTACCGACCCTCGAAAAACCGAGCCACCCTTCCGCTGCAGTTTCTTGAAAGTCGCGCCTGCCACTGGGCCGCCAAATGTGGAGAGCGCACAGAGAGGCCATCTCCAGGCTCCTGTGCGAAAGCAGCGGCTGTAGCTGAAAATACTCTGCTGGAGGTCAACAGCTTCCTCCCTCCCAAACCATGCCTTCAAATGGCTCTGGGTCAAAACCAATGGGATCCCATTTTGGGCTAGATGCACCACCCGTTTTAGAACCTATGTAAGTGGGGATTGGGATATTGGGGGGGGTACGGGATTTTGACCCATGGCCAAATAAGATCCTGGTTGTTTCCAATTTTCAATTCTGGGCTTTCTGACCTGCGAATCGGGTGAAGGGCCCGAATCTCAAGATCTGTTCAATTGCAGCTGCGTGCCAAACCGAACAGATCTCGCCACATCGACCGAATTGGGCCGACAAACAAATCTTGCCTTACGGACATTGGCCCGACAAACTTCAACTCTAAAACTTGGCAATAATTACTCTTCAGCAAGAGTTCCCACCAAAGCCAAAACCAGCAATTCTTGACAAACTGCACGGAGTCCTCGGCGATCATGCCGCTGTTGCCGCCCACCTTCTCTTCGTTGGTGGCAATCATCCACACGGCGCCCTGGCGAAACCCATCCACATTTGCCGCATGCGCGTCGGCGTGCGTGAACGCGCCTTCCACAGCCAGCCCTTCCTCGGAAACGCGCACCGCGAAAAGACTCTGTCCCATGGGCTATCCCACGCTTCGACCAAAATAATTTCTCCTGAATCCACTTCCATTCGCCTTGCTTCCCCGTCCATCCCACCGGAACCTATCCGGAGACTGGCCCGAGTTGCCTGAGTTCCAGGCCCCCCAGATTGCTTCCACACGGGCAAGCCTTTCGCACGCCTCACGGATGATAAAACGGCCAACGGCTCGCCTCCGCAGCAGTTGCCAAACAAACCTCAAGCAGCTTGAGGTTTTTTGTTGGCTGCGCGCTTCTGGGAGGGAAGGCTTGTGGGGGTCAATGGCCTTCCGCCAATGATCGCGACGTGCGTGCCTTGAAGCCGCGGAGTACGCTCCTGACAGCGCCGAATGCCTCAGATTCATCATTTTGCCCTCAAAGCCGAGCTGCCCCTCAACAAAAAGTTGATTCTTTACCAGGCCGGGGTTGATCTAGTCACTCAAGGCCGCGATTGGAGGCATGCCTCACCTATCCGGGGCGCGTTGAGGTCAAAAGGGGTCTTGGAAATAGGTGTCCTTTTAACAGATGGCCCTGGTGAATGAAATGCAGATCTAGACCAGCGCCATCTATTTCTCTCCGCAAACTAACCTAGGGATCCTTACATTATGCACCCGAACATTGCCTTGTAAATGGGGATTTCCCTTTATTTTGGATGGAAAAGGCCATGTTTCAAATGGTTGCAAAATGAATTTCTTTTGAGGAGCCCTGCTAAAAAGGACACCTCTGGTCTTGGCCATATCCAGGCGGCTCCCCCGGGATGCTGATGTTCAAGTCAGGCGGGGAGCTGCTGCAGCTCCTGCAACACGTCCTGATTGGCAGCTTCGGCACCGCATCCAACATGGCCATGGGCTTTTCAAAATCCAAATCGGTTAGCCCCCAGTGAACATCAACCAATCCATGGGTGGTGAAATCACCTACCATTGGTTTTGACCCACAGCCACATCTTGTTGAGTTATAGCTTAAAAAGGCAACCAGGCAGCCTCTGAATAGACTCTGGAAGCCACTTTCTGATCATTCCAACCAAGGTTCTCCGGTTTCATTCGCCTGCCGAAAAAAAATTGGCTGAGACCTCCCCCCCGAAACTCCGAGCCTGCCCCCCCCCAAAAAAATATATATAATACAACAAAATAGGCTGCGACCTCCCCCGCAGCTCCCGAAGCGCCCCCGAAGCGCCCCCGAAGCGCCCCCGAAGCCCGTCTTGAAGCCAGAGGCCGCGGAGCGCCCGCAGCCGTTGTCGCAGTCCGGCGCTGGTGGCAGCCTGGGGCGCAGGCTGCCGACTCTTCGGCGGTGGCGAAGAGTCTGCTCCCCGGCTAAAAGTGACTCACTTTTAGTGGTTTAAACCATTAGTTGGCAAACCCGTTAGTTGGCAAACCCATTAGTTGGCAAACCCATTAGTTGGCAAACCCATTAGTTGGCAAACCCATTAGTTGGCAAACCCATTAGTTGGCAAACCCATTAGTTGGCAAACCCATTAGTTGGCAAACCCAATAGTTGGCAAACCCATTAGTTGGCAAACCCAATAGTTGGCAAACCCATTAGTTGGCAAACCCAATAGTTGGCAAACCCATTAACCATTAGTTGGCAACCCAACTAAAGGTTTAATACGGAAAGCCAATCCATGAGTTGGCAAAAGGTTGTTCAGCCCTAACATCCCGGCGGCCAAATGCACCACGGTCAACTCTTCGGCGGTGCCCCTATGAACAGCCTGTGTCAAGGAGCGCCGGTGGTTGGGAGCTTGAGGTGGTTCAAAACACATGTCGGCTGAATTTATGCGGCATTCATTTCCCCCAACGACAGCTCACCGGTGAGCTATTGCCCGCTGCAGCCCCCCGACAGGGGAGGTCGCAGCTCGAGTAAGTTACGCGGCAAGTTGATCCCAATCAGCACGGCTGGGAATACAAACGGTCTGTGAGTCCATTCGTTTGAGCAACCTGAAGCTATCTCTGGGCTGCCAACGGCATTGAATCCATTGGAGACATCTGACGCTTTCCTAGGCGTTTTCCCGAAGCTATCCTTGGGAGTTGGCAAAAGTAAGAACCAGTCTAGATGGAATTTCATCCTTCAGGAAGCCAGACGCTTTCTGTCGGGTGGGTTTTTGGTTTGGTTTGTAGTGGGATGCAATGGGTTGTATCGAAGCCGCGCGGCAGGCCGCTTCGATAAAACGGGCGGCTTCACTTCTTGGGACTCCTCAAGCATCGGAATTGGGAGCCTCTCAACATGGCGCACCCCTTCCGCTTGGTATCAAAATGGAAACCTGCCCTTTTAGGGGACCTCATACTGGGAGAAACACCCAATTACCAAGACACGATTTCCGGTAAAAAGAACGTAACCACAACCTAAATAGTTCACCTCACCCAGCACGCTAGCCGGGCTATGGTTCGAGAGTCGAGCCCATCCCGTCCACAAGATGGCGCCATCGTGAAGCCCAAAAACAACAAATCGCGGAGTTCATTACAGTGAATTCTAGAAAACCCCAAAGCACATAGCAATTCAATCTGGAGTTTATCCTCAAAAAGATGATATGAAAGAATAGGAATTCAAATCTGATTCTCCAGAAGAGGTGAGCGGCGAAGCACAAGCATTAACTCCAAGAGTTTTAATTTCCATGAAGGCATACGTTGTCTAGGAATATTTTTTTAAATCGTCCTTTCACCCCTCTATGCCAAAGCCTGTGTGTAGGCTGGAGGTGATGACCTGAATGCAAATTCATGACAGTACCACATGCCTCCAAACTCCCTGCAAGCCGGCTCTCATCAATTGCGGCGCGGGCCCAAGGAAAAGCCAGCTAAACCATGCTAAGCCAGGGCGGACCCTTCAAAACAGTTCGCGAATCAAACTCGCCAAGCGGCAGACTGGGATGAAAGCAGTCATGGAAATGCTTCGGGTGGCGGCCTTAGGCCCGAGGTCTGGTTTTGCCTGTCGGTGTGGGTCCTCTGTGCTGTACCAGGCTTTTGATCGAATTGGATGCTTTTTGTAGGAACCCCCCCAAAAAATATGAAGGTTTTCCTGTAGGTTTCCCTTTAAACCAATCCAAAAAGGGGGTACCGTCAAAACAGACACACACAATTGTGCAAGCAGTGTCGCGAGTGGTTTGGATGGGCGTGGCATCTCTCTCTGATCATTTGTTTCTCATCGATGCACAGCGGCATCAAGCACACACTGAGCCTCAAGCGGTAACACGCGGCACCATACTGGCATACCTGGAAGAGGCAAGAGGTGGTAAGCTCATGCCGCATACATAAGCCAGAAGCATGTTGGACAATCAGCACTGGATAGGTAGACAACAGTTTCCCTCTGAGGGCAGAAAGGCAATTAAACCACGTACACCTACACACACACACACACACCCACGCACGCACGCACGCGCGCACGCACGCACCCACCCACCCACACACACAGACAGACATGTATGTGCACGCACGCACGCACGCACGCACGCATGCATGCACACCTCCAGGCTGCAAGGATACGAGGAATCAAGCGCTGCCAAGGAACTTCTAGTCTCCGAGGGCCTGGACAAGGGGGCACGCATGAACAGGGTTAATGGACCATCTCCCAGCTTTGCAAATGGGCATTGAATGTACCGTGCCTGCTTAGAGTTTGGGATGCTCAAAGACAGGGGCACGTTCACAACACGCCAATGTCGGGCTCAGGGATACTGAACAAGACTCATGTCTATGGACAGGGTCGCCACAAGAATCCCGATTGCCTTGTCCTTTATACCTCCAGACAAAGGCGGGGCCATCACTTAT